AAGGTCAGGACTAAAAAAGAGTGCTTTGGATTTTAGCAAAACGTGCAGAAAAACAATTGGTGGGTGGTCCTTATTTATTTTCACAGTGGATTTAGTGACAGCATCCTCAGCAGACTGCCAAGAACAGAAGCCAGAATGTAGTGGGTTAAGAAGCTACAATGCAGAGGGTAAGGAGAAAATGGAGAAGATTCAGAGAGAAAGCTACAGGGGAATGTAGAGTAGAATTTTCATAAAGATGGGAAAGACTGGAATGCTTTGGTCAAATGCTACAGGCAAAGAACCCTGAGAACAAATAAGGGAAGGGATTCAGAGTAAAAATGGAAGGCTTAGCTTTAAAAGAAGGTAGTGTACCTTTTCTACTGTAATCAAAGGGAAGACAAAAATGCAGGGCATACATTCAGGAAAGTTTTAGGCATAGTGACAGAAAACTGAGGAAGATCTTTTAAGATGGCATTTATTCCTAAGCAAAGTAGAGGGAGAGATAGTCTCAGAAAGGAAAAGAGGCTTTTAAAAAACCATGGTTGATAATGGGAAAGAGCTGCATGGGGAAGCCTCTGAGGATTGCTGGGCAGAGCTGAGAACCCAACTGGGGAGGGGACTGTAATTTTTAGTAACATTAGCCTGTGGAGATCTGAGGTTTTTTCTAGCAGCATTTGGAAGGCTGGAGGTAGGCTCATGAGAGGTCAACATTTGGATTCATCCAGAGCTGGGTTTTTGCCAGATGGGTTTAACGGAATCCTGAATGGGTAAGACAGTTGAAAATACTACAAGAGACGGGATGAAGTGATGGATCGTGAAGTCTAGGTCAAGCAGGGGCAGAAGTGATTAAATGGAGGAGCCCAAAAAGGACAGAGGGCAGAGAGAGACTGCATAGCTTAGTGATGTTTTAAAACAAAAATAAAAAAACAAGTATAACAGGAATAACTGAATGAGAATGATGACTGAGTAAGGGATTCTTGCTCTGAATGAAATATGAATTTAAGTCTTCAGAGATGGAGGAGTCCAGTGTGTGATTACAAATACAGCTGAAATTAGTGGAGGTGAAGGTCACTGCACATGAGGAATCTGGAGTTGGGGTCAAAATAGCCAAGGCTCCATGTAGGTTCCAAAAAGCAGCATCTGGAGGATATGGCCTGGTCTTGAGAAAACATTTCCCCCTACAGTTTTTCTAATGACATGATCTGAGGGGACATTTCCCAGCATTCAATATTCTAGAGTATTTGAATAAAGTTAATTTGTTCCATCTCAGACCTGTGTGCTCACTCCCTCCTCCGAATTCTATCAGTGATCTCTTTCAGGGACGTAGCTGAGTATGAGGGACGCAGGGCAGATATCCAACTGGGTTTCTGGCGCATGCTACAACATTGATGAACCCGAAGACATTATGGTAAGTGAAATAAACCAGTCACAAAAAGACAGATACTGTATGATGCCACTTATTTTTTTTTTTTAAGATTTTTATTTATTTATTTACGAGAGAGAGAGAGAGACAGAGAGTAAAGGCAAGCTGAGCAGGGAGCCCGACGCGGGGCTCGATCCCAGGACCCCAGGGATCATAACCTGAGCCGAAGCAGACTTTTAACTGACTGAGCCATCCAGGTGCCCCTGTATGATTCCACTTGTATGAGAGACCTAGAGTAGTTAAATTCATGGAGACAGAAAGTAAAATGGTGTTTGCCGGGGGCTGGGGGAAGTGGGAACGGGGACTCACTGTTTAATGGGTACAGAGTTTCAGTTTTGCAAGAGGGAAAGTGTTCTGGAAATGGATAGTGGTGATGGTTGCGCAATGTGAATGCACTTAATGATGAATGATACATTTAAAAATGGTTAGCATGGGGCGCCTGGGTGGCTCAGTTGTTAAGCATCTGCCTTCAGCTCAGATCATGGTCCCAGGGTCCTGGGATCGAGCCCTGCATCGGGTTCCCTGCTCAGTGGGAAGCCTGTTTCTCCCTCTCCCACTCCCCTGCTTGTGTTCCCTCTCTCGCTGTGTCTCTCTCTGTCAAATAAATAAAATCTTAAAAAAAAATGGTTAGCATGGTAAATGTTATATATATTTTATCAGAATGAAAAAGAAAAAAACTAGATGCACATATATGGCCACATGATATATAAAGGTGACATTACAGTATCATGGAGAAGGGAGGGTGATGGGTCAATTGGATATCTGTGAAGAAAAAAATAAATCTTCACCCCTATCTCACACCATACACAAATACCAATTCCAGATGAACTGCAAATATAAATGTGAAAGCTAAAACAATAACGCTTGTAGGATAAATGAAGAACAACTCTGTAACCTTAGAGGAGGAAAGGACTACTTAACTAGGGTACAAAAAGCTCTAACCATAAAAGAAAAAAAAATCTTAAAAATCAGAATATGTTAAAATTAAAACCTTCTGTTCATCGAAACATACTGATGAGAGAATGAAAAGGGGAGCCAGAGAATTAGAGAAGATATCTGCAACACACATAACGGATAAATGACTTGTCAAAACTATGTAAAGAACTCAATAGGTCAGTTAAGGAAAGGCAGACAAATCAGTGGAAAAATGAACAAAAGACTGACACACATCCGCATTTCCAAGAAAAATATGAAAAGGTAGTGAACTTCATTTGTTATCAGAGAACTGCAAATTAAAACTACCATGAGATACTGCTAAACCCACAGATTAAAAAGACAGAAACAACTAAGTGAGAGCATAGAATCATGAGAATTCTCATCCAGGCTGGTGGGCGTGTAAACTGGTACTACATTGGAATCTGTTTGGCAGTATCCACTAAAGCTGAATAGATGCATATCCAGTGATCCAAAAATTTCAAAAGGAATGCAACATGTGTTCACTAAAAGACATGTACTATAATGCACAGCAGGACTTTATTAACTGCCAAAAATGGGGAACTACTCAAATGTCCATCAAGAGTAAAATGGGTAAGGAAATTGCAGAACATTCACATAATAGACTGCTAGACAGCAGTGACAATAAACAATCTGTAGTAACACCCACAATAATTCATCGACATGATGAATCTCACAAAATAATGTTATGCCAAAATATAAAGCCAGTTACAAAAAAGTTCATATTGTATTTTTCCATTTACATACAGCACACAAAACCAATCTATGATAAGTCAAGACAGTAGTTCCCCTTTGGCTGAAAGACGGATGGGGAGGCAGGTAGTGACTGGAAGATGGCATCAAGGGAAGGTCTAAGGTGCGACCGAGTGTATTTCAAGGATACTGGTACTGATAAACTTTTTAAGAAACCAGACAGAAGAAGAATGAGATAAAAAGTATCTCAAGATGTTTTGGCAACAGTTTTAGGGTCAGCCATCTAGGAGGTTATGAGGGGAACAGAATTACAGTGGGGGATTTTATGTGTTAAAAATGACATGATGTGTGCAAGAGGTTGTCCGTGGTGAAGAAGTGGCCAACAAATATCTATCATGGATCTCCTATGCTCCAGGCAGAAGGAAAACTTGGTCAAGACGGGGGGGGGGGGGTACATACACACACAGTGTTAAGTGCTGAGAGTGGGGGTGAGTAGAGAAGGAATACACATAAGAGAGTGGTCAGAGAAAGGAGTACCTGAAATAAATGCTGCAGAATGATGGAAGTAAATCATAATAAAAGTACCTGTTTGGGAGATAGTGGTTATTTACCTGCAAATCCTGCCTTGGTTTAAAATCAGGGAATATGGTGAACCAAAAAACAACATACATGTAGAAACCCAACTAATAAACCTGGTTAACCCCACTTTTCTTCAACTGTAGTTGAAGGGGTCCTTCCTTACTAAAAATAAAAATATGACTTGTTAGCCGTTATAACAGAAAGGAAATCTGGAAGAAAATCTCTAGGTGGAAACATGCCACCCTTCCCCCCCAGTTAAAGAATGAAAATTAGATTAAGAAATCGGAGGATTAGGGGCGCCTGGGTGGCTCGGTTCCTTAAGCGTCTGCCTTCCGCTGGGGTCGTGATCTCAGGGTCCTGGGATCCAGCCCTACATCGGGCTCCCTGCTCAGCGGGGCGTCTGCTTCTCCCTCTCCCTCTGCCTCTCCTCCGGGCTTGTGCTCTCTCTCCCTCTCACTCACTCTCTACTCTTTCTCAAATAAATACATAAAATCTTAAAAAAAAAAAAAAGAAATGGGAGGGTTAGTTTTCCAGCTTTAATCTTTTCAACTTTGGTGTCAATCTGTCTACAAATTAGAACAAACATTGAGGGAGATAGATAGGAAGCATTTATTTGGTAAGTGCCCACTCTGTTAAGGGGAGATCATACTGTCACGGTGAGGCAGATATGTCACAGGTTATTTTTTTGAAAGAATGTATTAAATATGTAATTAAGTAGAAGAAAACCCCGTGGGGGAAAAAGGAAGGCGTAACAATTCTTGGGAGAGTTTGGAAACGCTTCACTGACATTTAAGTTGGGCCTTGGAGAATGGAGTAGGAGCTTGTCGGGTATGTCAAGAAGTGGAGTGAGGCCAGAAAGACCCTAGAGAATTGAACGGCGCAGCTGGGCTGTGTGTGTCGGATACAATGAGAGAAAGAGGGGCTAGGAAGGCAGGTCGGGGGATAGGGAGCAAAGCATCTTCTGCAAGAGCCAAGAGCATCACACGTCAGAAAGCAATATGGCACAGAGATAGGAGCACTTGGCTGTGTTCTAAATCGGGCTCCACCGTTTACCCGCTGTGTGATATGGGCAACAGCCTGGGCCTCAGTATTCGCGTTTGTAACATGGAAATAATCTTTACCTTATACAGTTGCTAGATCGTTTAGCACAGGGTCCAGCCCATTCAGCGCTAAATGAGAATACATCATCGTTGTATGATTACCAGCCCCCTCACCTCCCCGTGACAGCTAAAGAAGCAAAGTTAGCTCGGGCCGGCCGCGCCCACTTGCCACTGCTCCGCCCTTTCAGGCCTTAGACCTCTATTCAGAGAGTGGGGCCGGGCCAGAGAAAGGGCGGCCGGGCCTGGAGGGCAGCGTGCACGCCGCCGCTTACCAGGGCTGGGGTCTCGCTCCTCGTCCTCTGCTGTCCCGCGGGCCTTGAAGCCGGGCGGCAGCGCCGGCCCGATCAGATCCCTCGCCATCCGCGGTGGCGGACACGGGTCAAGCATACAACTCTAACCACGCAGTCAAGTCTACCCCAAAAGGCAGCCCGGGATCCGTCGCAAACGCAGGAAGTTTTTCCGGCGCCTACCAATGACGTAGAAGCCCGTGGTTGGCAGAGTCGTGTAATCGCGAGAACGGAAGTGACGCCTAAGGCTTGTTCCACATTCGCATGCTAGGTTCCCTACCTGGCGGGAGGCATGGCTGAGCCGGCTAGTGGTTTCGTGACTTCTGCGGCGTGGTTTCCAGCATCCGAAGGGACCTCCACGTTGGGGCCTCTGAACGACACTGCCGCTCCGCGGGACAACTGGATGCTCTGGGCAATGCTGCCGCCGCCACCACCACCGCCTTCGTCGTCGCCTCCCGTAGCAGGGTCACAGCCTTCCTCAGAGGAGCAGCCCCCCCAGGAGGCCCAGGCTCTCCCCGAGGCGCCTCCTCCCTTCGACGCCCAGATTCTTCCCGGGGCACAGCCTCCCTTCGACGCCCAGTCCCCCCTTGATTCTCAGCCTCACCTCAACGGCCAGCCTTCCTGGAATTTCCAGGCTTCGACATCATGGTACTGGAGACAGTCTCCTGGTGTTTTTCCTGGGCATCAGAACGCTCCGGGTAGGCTGTTATCCTCTCCTTATCACCCCTTTACTTTCCCTCTCCCACCTTCCCCCTTTTCCTCTCTCTACTTCTGATTCTGCCCTGCACTCTTGGAGTCTGTTCATTAATGTCCACAATTTGTCCCACAGTAGTGTTTTCCCCGCCTATTCAGTCGGTTCAGCAGTTAGGATAAAGCAGTGTGTATTAGAAGGCAATGAGTGCCACGGAGAGAAACAAAGCAAAGAAGAATGATAGGTAGTGCAGTTTTAAATGTCAGTGTGGTCATAAACAAGGTGACATTCGAGCAAAGACTTCAGGGAGGTGAGGGGTCAGAGCTGTGGTGAATAGGGATGCAAGCAGGATGAACTGAAAGTGCAAAGACCTTGAGGCAGGAGCTATGGATCAGAACCAAAGCCCGTGTGGCTAGAGAGGAAGGAGCCTGGGGTGGAATTGTAGATTGGGGAAGAGGGCAGACCTGCTAGGGCCTTGTAGATGATGGGACTTTGACTTTTTACAACTGTGATAGGTGTAGTGCAGGGGAGTGACATGATTTGATTTATATTTTAGAAGGATTAATGTGGCTACTGATGGGAATTGACTTAAAGGGCAACGAATTGAGAAGCTTTTGCAGGTTATCCAAGTGAGAGATACTGGGGGCTTGGACCAGATGGAGCTCAGGAGGTGATGAGAAGTGTTGGATTCTAGATCTGTTTTGAAGGTAGGGTAGGGCCAACACGATTTGCTGAAGGATCAGATATAAGGTGTGAGGTAAAAATGAGACAAGAATAACTTAAATTTTTTTTGCCAAACAAGCAGAAAGGATGGGAGTGGAACAGATTTGGAAGGAAGACCAGGAGTTGAGTTTGTGTGAAATAGAGATATTGAATAATAGGCTGTTAGTTTGTACTTTCCAGGGGAGATTTGTGGCTGGAGCTGTGAATTTGGGTGTCATCAGCATACAGATTATATTTAAAGCCACGAGATTGTTAACTTAAAACCGTTCTCTAACTGCATAAGATTTAATTTACATTAACTTTAATCCAAATCAGTGTTTACTGTGTGCCAAACGCTGGGAATAGGAATGTGCCTAAGACAGTTCTAAGTCAGATGAGATGGGCTCATAAGTGTAAATCAGTGCAGCGTGACTGGTGATGGAGGTATGAAAGGTGATTTCAGAGTTTAGAGGAAGTTGGGGAAAGCTTTTGGAAGAAGTGTCTTGGGAGATGTTTAGGATTTAGGAAGAGATACTTTTTAGACAGGGCAAAGAGGTGTGAGTACAAGGTGAGTTCTGAGAATTGCACTGTTCTGGTGTGACTGAAGCAAAGTAAAGTGGAGGTATGGGGGGAAGTGTAGGATGAGAAAATAAAACGGGTTCTCATTAAAGGACTCTGGGAAGTCATTGGTAGATTTTCCAGCAGGATTGTGACCAGTGGAGGATTATTTTTGTGGTGTCAGTGTGCAGGGTCTGTTGGAAGAGAGGGCTTAGGAACTGGAAGACAATGGGGGAGGCTGTCAGAGTAATCGAGGTGAAAGATAAGGGTTTCAGAGTTGGGTCCTGGCAGTAATATTTCACAAGGCTCTGTTTTCCTGGGATAAAATTGATGCTGAAAGCACTATATTGGGATTTTATTGTTTACATTTCTAATGTTTGAAATAACTACAAGAAATTTCATCAGGTTAGAGTGGCCATTCCTTTCTTTGACACCTAAAGCATGTATGGGCATGTAATCTTACCAATTATATATTCATTTGGTAGATAGTCTTAATCTTTGTTAATTTGTTTGAACTACTTTTCTTCTTAGAAGAGGTAGGTTTTACTCAAGTATTTGTGACATGTTAGGGTAAATAAAAATTTAAAAATTGTGTAGTTGGAAATATTTATGGATTTCTTTTTGTTTTTTAGTTAAACATCCTTATTTTCCACGAAAATATGATCCAAAGTTCACTGATGTCAACTTCCCTCCCAGTAGAAAACAGAAAAAAAAGGTATTTTTAAAGATATTCTTGAATGTGACACTTGGGTCCCTATGTCACTGTTTCATGCCTTTTGTTTCTATTACAATGGTCTCAGTGTTTTGCACCCATTTTTGACACAGTGAGGCCTTGCTATAGTAGGATCTTTAAGGATCTTAGCTTTAAGTAAAAACTTTAAGCAAAATCTTTTTGAGAAATAAATGGAGAAATTGTAGAAAAAGAAAACAATCCATTTCAGTATATTTTCATGAATAAATATAATTGAGAACTACGATTACTAGTAAATGTAAATGTTATTAAACCTTAGTGAACTAAAAAAAAAATGTATATATATACATGTACATTAGCGAATTGGGATAGGAAGGATGGAATTTAGGGAGAAGAATGGAAATCCAAACTCTTCTCTTGTAAAATTGAAAGTATGGAGTTAAGAACAAATTACAATGACACAAACCTTTTTTTTTTTTTTTTTTACAATTTTTCTTCATGACATGGATTTTTTAGGGACAGATATTTCTGTGATTAAAAAAAGCATTTGCAGTAGTTTTTCTCGTGTTAAATTCAATTAAAATTAAATTTAATGTTAATTTAAAATAGTTTATAATTAGTTTATCTTCTATGCCTGAAGTAATGTCTGAAATTGTTCAGACAGGGTTTGTATTATTATTGTTATTTATTATTTATCTTAACTCACTGTAATGCTTCATTTCTTTTCAGTAGTGGATATTTATCATTTTTATGAAAAGAGTTATTTTTTTTAAATCAGGATCAACTCTTGGTTATGCTTCAGAGACCAAATCTTAAAAATAGGCTTCTTTTATTCTTTTTTTTTTAAAGATTTATTTATTTACTTTAGAGAGGGAGAAAGAAAGAGAGAGAGAGAGAGAGAGAGCTTACGCACATGTGTGCACAGGGGGAAGGGGCAGAGGGAGAGAGAATCTCAAGCCGACTCCCCACTGAGCATTGAGCAGACCGGGGCGTGATCTCAAGATCCCGAGATCATGACCTGAGCTGAGATCAAGAGTCCTGGACACTGAGCCACCCAGGCGTCCCAGGCTTCTTTTATTCTGATGAAGCTTATCAATCTGGTCTGTTTTAAGGTGTATAAATGTCAGGGTGCCTGGCTGGCTCTGTTGGTAGAGCATGTGACTCTTGATCTTGGGGTTGTAAGTTTGAGCCCCACACTGGGTGTAGAGATTACTTAAAATCTTAAAAAAAAAGTAATGTCATTATTTTAGAATGAGTTGAATAAAGTCTACAGCATGAAATTAGTATCGTTCATTTTGGCATGGCAACTATGTAGCTAATACTAAGAAAATATTGTGCATATATAATGTGTTAACATAATCCCAACATTAAACAATGGGAGACCATTTCCTATATACTCTGTCATTGTAGTAATTTTTTTTGTTTTATGTTTAAGCATAAAAATAGCAAATTTGGAACAAATAACTGACCTTTACTAAATGATTCTTTTTTTCCTTTTTGGGGTTTAAAAAAATGTGATATATTTGTTTTTCCTAAAAGTTGAAATGCTGTTTTTACCATGAATATTAACTATTAGATCATTTTGACATATGCTGTACTTTTAATTAGATTACCAATTTGAAATCTACTCACAGACTATATTAGCTCTACTCAGATTTAAAATTTCTTTATCATGCCTGGCTTTTCCTAATATACTTCCTAAAAATAAAATAAAAGAAACAGAATTATCCCTTCATTAGAAATGTATTCAGAAGTTTCTCCCACGTACAGGGGTTATGTGAAAAATCAAAGTACATACCACCGGAAGGATAGTTATATTTTTATTATTGATTAAACATTTTTTATCAAAAGCCTAATGCCTTTCTGTTTTTATTTGCAGAAAAGAAAGGAACCAGTTTTTCATTGTTTTTGTGATACCTGTGATCGTGGTTTTAAAAATCAAGAAAAGTATGATAAACACATGTCTGAACATATGAAAGTAGGTTTTTCTTGGTTGCCCTGAAATTTATAGAAAAATGGGTATATTTGGTAGAAATTTGAGCATTTTTCCTTAAAAGTTTATAGTTTTCATAGAAAAGTTGTTTGATTACTTGACAAATTGAGACCAAGACCCTGGGATGTGCGGTTTGAGGGTGGGGAGCCCACTGCTTCAGGAAGAGGCAAGATGGCAGCAAAGAAGGGGGGTCTGACAGCTGTGTGTGTGCACCTCCTCTGTTTTGTAAGAGTGTTGGGCCTCGCCTCCAGCTCCTCTGTGCACCTTTGTGTGTTTTTTCCCCTTCAAGGCTGCCCTTGACCGTTTAACCACACCGTAATTTGCCATGGCCCATCACTCTCTAAGGATGGTCTGGACCTTATTAAGTACTTTTAAGAAATTTTTAATCAGAATGTTCTTAATTTGGAAAGGTTCTTTTCAATTAATAGGAATGCCCCTTCAACTTTAGGAATTAGGAAAATTTTATAATGTTGCTGATGTCATGCATTTACTAAGTAGAGAAGTAATTGATATATAT